GGGAGTAATTGGCACCTGTATAAGAAAAAGCCCCAAATATCAGGACTGGCCCTATAAAATCGGGACATCTGGTCACCCTATATAAGCACTGTGTGTTAAATGGAGCCGTTACCTAAGGTGTAACTAGTAAGCTGGGGTGTACTGTTCCTTTGGGAGCAGTGAATACTGTGAGTGTCCAGTGGAGTAGGGACTGGACACTTCATGGAGATGCTCAGAGGGTGGAGAGAGAGAGAGAGTGTGTGTGTGTGTGTGTGTCTATTGCTAACCTGTAAAGAGACAGTGGGAGCTGCATAGGCCTAGAGGAGTTGTGTTGCCCGTGGCCGGTGGAGTTGGGGAGCTGACCCCAGCAAGCACAAACACACTAAAGGTAGGTGGTAATGAGATGCATCACAGCCCTGGGTACCCCCCAGAAAGCATCACATGGTATACAGGCTAACAGTGCCCCAGGTTTGGTGCCAAGCCATAGTGGCTAACAGGGACCTGAGGTGCGGAGCTAAGGCACAGAGGCTAATAATGCCCCTGGGTGTAGCACCAATGCCCGAGGCTTGGGCTAACGATGATTTAGGATGCAGGACCAAGGCATTCAGGCTAACAGTGACCTGGGACATGAGGCTGAGGTTCAAGACTCTGGCCAAAAGGGCCCTGGTGTGTGGAGCCAAGGCCCAAGACGCTGACCCAGAGGCCTCTGGAGCAAGGCCTGAGACACTGGTTTCAAAGATTTTTAAAGCCAGATTACCTAGTCTGATCTTGATAACACTGGCCATAAAATCTTGCCGAGCAATTCTTGCATCAAGCCCATAACTTCTGTTTGAGCTATAACACATCTTTCAGAAAGATATCCAGTCGTAATTAAAACGTTCAAATGATAGAATCCCCCATATCTTTAGGTAAATTGTTCCAGTCAGAGCCAGTCAGAAAACAGGGGAGTGGGGGGAAGGTGCCAAGGTGTCCACAGTTTCAGTTTGATGAAACTGAAAAAAAAAATCGTTTTTGTGTAAATTTGTCTTGGAAAGTTTTGATTTTTCAGTGAAAATTCAATACTGAAATATTTTGGCCGTACACCTAAATTTGTAAATCCAGAAATGCTGCCACGGTGCCTCATAGGAGTTGTAGTTCAGGGTGCTTTGTGCTTCCATTTCCTTGTATAGGCTGGGCTCCTTGGTCAGACTACATCTCCCATGATGTGCAATGGTATCTCTTCATGGGGCACTAGTGTTGAAACCTTATGGACATCTACCAGTGATTCATCCAACCCCTGTTGTCCAGTCCCAGCTTCTGGCAGTCTACCAATGCCCTAATTATTGCACTTGCAGAATACTGTGCAACAGCATGGGCTCCATTCCTCACTGTGGAAAGCTAGACTCAACAATCAGCTCTGCCCTTCATACCATTACTGGTGCAACCCAGACAGCTCCAGTTTCCAACCTTGTGGTCCTGGCTGGCATTGCTTCCCCAGAGATTAGGTGTGAAGGCACGGCCTTGGCTGCATTACTGTGTGCAGCCAACTATCAGGACAGCTAACTTCACAATTTCATCTCAAAGCCACATCAGACATGCTGACTAAAGAAGCAGCTCCTTTTCTGAAATAGTCGAGCCTCTCAGACAATACATCAGACACAACCTTTCTAAGGAACACTGGCAACAGGTGGTATGGGACTATATATCGATGGCACATTTCTGGGCAGATAGAAAACTCAGATTGTTGTCCCCTAGTCTCTTTGGATTGGATCTTGCATGCACCTAAGAACAACCATATGAAATGAAAGATTACAACAGGATACATTGTGGCCCTGAGTGGTTTAACTTACATCGGTTTCAGATATGCATCCGAAGAAGTGGGTTGTAGCCCACGAAAGCTTATGCTCTAATAAATTTGTTAGTCTCTAAGGTGCCACAAGTACTCCTGTTCTTTTAACTTACATCTTTACTGTTGAGCTTCTTGAGCTCCCTGTCCTGCCCCCGTGGTGCTCAAGAACACACAGTATGCCATCTTGTTATGGGCTGCCCTCTTTCTCATCTTGATGGTGGGTGGATGTGCTTGACATCTCCAGATGCTGCTGCTGTGATAGTGGCTATATCATTTACCCAATATCTAATTCATTATTTGTTCCATCAGATGTCATATGACATAAGAAGTCTTTCCACTTGGAGAGAGGACGTGGTGCATTGTGGGAGATATAATCTGGCCAGGAGCCCATTTCATAAAGGGGAATGGGGACATGAGACAACTATTATTATTGTTTTAATATCTTTGTGATATAAAATCTCAGATTTGGTTTTTTTCACATGCTTTTTAATGTCAGCCAGTTCTCCTTTTTGGGAGGGGAACTGTTCAAGGTTGGAGTGGGAGGGGGTTTAAGCTCCCCAATCATCAACTTTCCCACTCATGTTTGAAAATATTGTTTCCCTCTTTATGTCCATTGGTGGATTCTCCATCTCTTGATGTCTTCAAATCAGTATTAGATGACTTTCTGGAAGATGTGCTTTAGTCAAACAAGTTTTTAGGTAACTGGATGAAATTCTATGGCCTGTGTTATAGAGGAGGTCAGATTAGGTGACATAATAGTCTCTTCTGGGCTTTAAAATCTGAGGTTTTATTATACAGGGTCCTGGTCCAGGAATCTTTTTGGATCCTTATTTATTTGTGGATATTCAGGGAATAGTAGCAACCAAATGTGATTTTTTTTCACCTTCCATCTGTTTTGTGCCTGAAGTTTCCTTTTGGAAGCAGATGTTACTTGGTGATATATGCCTTTGTCATCTAAAGATTGGATTACTGCAGTGGGTTCTATATGGAGTCACCCCGTAAAACCAGGCAAACATTTCAGCTACCGTTAAATTTGGTAGCCCATATTTAAAGGGTGTTACATGATGTCTGATGTGGACTGGCTTCCTAGTAATTTCCAGGTGTAATTTATATTGGTTTTGGTGTATTGGTTTTGAGCTATTATATACTTGCTCTTTTTAAAATATTTTCAAAGAATAGTGCACTCTCTAAACAAGGCTATTATGTACCTTGCCCTATTATGTAGTGGTACTAAGACTCCTTGTTTACTTTAAAGAAGTACAGTCTAACTCAGGGGTTCTCAAACTTCATTGCACCGCGACCCCCTTCTGACAACAAAAGTTACTACACGACAACAGGAGGGGGGACCGAAGCCTGAGCCCACCCGAGCCCAGACGCCCCATGGGCCAAAGCCAAAGGCCGAGCCCCACTGCCCCAGGTGAGGGGGGCCAAAGCCAAAACCCCAGTCACCCTGAGCCCCATCACCAAGGACTGAAGCCCTCGGGCTTCAGCTTCTGTCCTGGGAGGTGGGGCTTGGGCTTTGGCCCCGGGTGGTGGGGCTCGGGCTCCAGCAAGTCTAACACCAGCCCTGGCGACCCCATTAAAACGGGGTCGCAAACCACTTTGGGGTCGCGACCCACAGTTTTGAGAATTGCTGGTCTAACTTATTATTTCTATCCCTGTCTAAAAACACTATGCAAAATGGGTTAAATGAGTTAGTGCATTATAAATGCACATGCTGCTTTACAAAGATAGGTTAAGTAATGTCCTCTACCTCACAGAGTTTACAATGAAAGTTAGTCAAGAACATACAAAAGGACAACATGTCAGGTTAAGGAGGTTATTAATAATAAGAAGGTCAGATGATTGCTGAAGGGAGGAAAGATAAGGTGCTTGCTGTTCTATCATAGATGCAGAATGATAGACACAGAAAAGCCTAGACTAGTTAAGATGATAGGCCTGGGGCAAGCAGAAGAAACATGGGTTAAACAATAATTACAATAAGCAATATTTCTTTTTCTATTCTTATTACATTCTCATGTAAGATCTTCCTCCAGTCACCACCCAGGCTAACACTTTATATAGAGAGGGAGCAAAAGATACCTAGATTCTACAGAGATGATGCTCTACAAATATCTAAAGCAACCTAATTTTCAATTTTTCTAAGCTTTAGCACCTCTACTTTGAAGTCTGACTGGCTCTGTGATGTTGTGTATAAGAAAGGTGACCATTTATATCACTGTTGTTATCACTGTTGCACAATTTCCGTAAATCTTCTACAAAGTATGTCATGTAAGGTATCAGTAGAAAAGTAATGAATTGCTAACTATGATTATCCTGTTTATATGCATGTATCATCTTTATATCTGAAGTTATGAATATTGGCTATGTATCTGTATGAGGAGTTTGGGGTGCAGGCAGGCTGCCCCAGGGCTGGGGCCAGTGTGGAGGACTCCACAGTCCCCCCAACCCTCTCCCCCCCGGCAGCAGCGAGCTCTAGGGGTGGGGCCCCCTTCTCCCCCCCAGCAGCACACTCACCCGGCACCCTCACTGCATGTGCTCCTAGGGGCTGGGCCCCTCTCACGTCCGGAAAGACTCCTCGCTTCCCTTGTGGTGGGTGCCGGGCTGCCATCATGTGTGTGCCTCCTCCCTCCGCCGGTGCCTCAACCAGCCGCCGGCGCTGCTCCCTTTTGTAGCTGGCAGGGGCTGGCGAGGGATTGCAGCGCAGAGCAGCAGGGCAGCCACCCACTGCCCAGGGCACAGGCAGGGACACTCCGAGGAAGGCACGCGGGGGCGGCAGGCGGGGCCGGGGGACACTCCGGGAGAGGCACGCGGGTGGCAGGCAGGGGTGGGGAAGAAACCCGGCCCCGAACATTGGTGGAGTCAGGCCTCCGGGCCCTGAATTTGCTGGAGCACAGGCACCACGGGCCCATATAGCTCGCCACCCCTGGACAAGGCATCTTTTGAAATAGCTTGTGGAGCAGCAGCAGCAGAAAATCCAGGTCCAGCAATTTATGGAGCAAGAGCAGCAGGTGTTCCTCCACTTAATGAACCGGGAATGCCCTGGAGCCCAAGGAGCAGAGGTGTGTGTGGCATCCCCGGTGACCCTGGGTAGGGGAGGGGCCCTGACCAGGATGGGTCTGGAAGAAGATCCAGAGGCATACCTGGAGGCATTTGAGTGCCTGGCCCTGGCCCATCATTGGCCCTGGGAGCAATGGGCCCTCTGGCTGGCCCTCGTCGGATCGAGAAGGCTCAGGCAGCATATAGGGTATTAGGCTTCACCTCTGCTGGAGATTATGGAAGATTTAAAGTTGCTAGTTTGGATTGTCTGGGCCTCACGGAGGCAGGTTACTGTGGACAGTTCCGGGCCAAAACATTTATTCTCAATTTTCACAACTGGGTGCTGACGCAAGGCTTCTGGTGGCGCAAGACCTCTGGGACTTTTGCTCCCAGTAGCTAAGGCAAGTATCCCAATCCTCTGGTGAAATTGTTGAGCTGGTGTTTTCTGAACAGTTCTGCTGAGTCTTGCCATGAGGACCTCAGGAGTGGGTTTACCAGGATCAGGCAGCCAACCTGAAGACCACGGTATATTTGGTTGAGAACTTTTTGGAGGCTGAACTAGACTGTGGGACACCCTCCTGACCGGAACCAGGAGAACAATGGTTCCAAGTGGGTCTGCTGGTTTCCCCGGGCAGCGTGTTGGACTCGCAGAAGAAGGGAAAACCTGGGGACTTGTGAGGGCCACAGGAAGGCCATTCTATGAGCTGGGGCAGTCCCCTACCTAAGATCATACCATCTTTGGGGCGACAGTCCCAAAGGAGTGCAGTTGGGTGGGGAATGAAGAGGCCTGTGAGATAAGGGGGCTGACAGGAGCTGCAGAAGTTGTTCCCCTGTTGTAAACCACTACTGACTAGGTGGGAACAGGTACAACCTGTAGGATTATCAAGAAGCCTGATCTAGCTTCACCTGTGGGTAGAAGGGCCACAGCTCCTGCTCCAGTATGGATTTTGACTATGCTGTAGCCTGAAAAACAGGCTTTGGGGTGCCCCTAGAATAGCCTACCTATCTCCCCTTTAATCTGTGTCTCCTAAGGTATGGATCTCCAGGGTAGTTAAGGAAACACTTGAAGGACACGGATACAGCCTTCCAATAAGTGATTGACACAGGCAGTATTCTTCCAAAACAAATTATCTTTTTATTAATGTAACTAATAATCCCTAATACAGTAATAATCTAGAAATAAAAATCAAATACCTTTTATCCCTTATTGCAAGTTAAAGAGCATTCAGACGGCAATTGTGTACAGTTCAACTGATTCTAAGTGATTGCGCTGTTACAGATGGCCAGTCTGCAACAGATCACTGACAGCAGTTCTTAAATGTACTTTAAATTTTACATAGGTAAATTACATTAATAACAAAATCTTATGCATCTTTATTAACCCAGGCATACACATACTAACACTAATCCTACACTATACTATGCCACACTTATACTATAATTATAGCAGGCTATACTTTGTCCTTTTCACTGTGCTGTCTTATTGCTGGTGCTGCCGTCAGCTTCAGTCAGCTATCTGCTTGGCTCCATTCTCCAGCTCCATTCTCATTCCCTCTCTCTCCGCTTCTTGTCCGCTCTCCATCTTTCTCTGCTCCTCTGTTCTAACTGTCTGCCTTTTATACTATCCTGTAAACTATCAGATCTTACTGTGCATCCTTATCGCTAGTTGTTTAACACAGAGTTATGCTGCACCTGTTTGGCTTTCTGCCAATTTTTAGGGTTTTTTTCCCAGCTGAACTTTCAACCTTTTTTCCTACTTTCAGCAGTAAAGTATCCTGTGACCTGCAGCTTCTGATGGGGGAGTGATTTTTGCCTATTCAAAATGGAAGCTAGGGACACAAAATGGAATCCAGGGAATTCCTCTGGTATCAATATGATAATAGGAATGTGAGGCTGGGGTTTACCAGTCAGGGGGGCGTGTCTTGTTATTACTACCTAGCTCCAAGTGCAAAATGTTCACTAAATGGCAGGGGCCCTTTGAGATAATCTTCCTTCCCCACCCAGCAGACTATGAGATTTGATTAGTTGGGAAGAGACAGAACACCCAGATCTACCAAGTGGCCTTTTGAAGAAGAGAGAAAACAGATGAGTTTGTGAGAATGTAATGAATAGAGCCAGAAAAATGAGCAATGCAGCAGCTTCTTGATTGAAGTGTAAATATGCCACATACCTGATCACAACCCACCCTGAGGGCCCTTGTACTCAGGCTTGTTTGGGGAGAGTCTGCTGGGGTCCAGGCTGGGCCATGGGCTCCCCTGGCCTGCCCTCACTGAACCACACTTGGCTCTCCGGCTTATGGCCCTTGCTGAGGTCTCAGTGCATGTGTTAATACGTACAGGGTGCATACCATGTGCACCCTGCTGACATGCATGAACAGTTTGTTAATGCACTTTGATCTTGTCCCTTTCAAAGGGGGCGAGATCAAAGCATATTAAGGAACTGTTAATGTGCATCAAGATGTACACAGACAGTCTGCACTGTGGCTGACTAGTGTGAGGTAGATCACACCTTTTTGTCATGGCTGTGCCACCCAAGGGAGCTGCCTAGCTTGCCTGTGCCTAGAACAGCCGCTGAACATGGTGATTTGAAAGCTAACAGGTGAAGATCTCCAATATTAGCAGAACAGGCCATAGATAGAGTAGTTGGCCAACCTCTGAACTGGGAGCAGCAGGATCAGATTTTCTCCCTACCCCTGCCTCAAATATATTGAGTAGAGTAGCTCACTTCTTCTGCTATGTCGCTGCTTGTCTGGAAAACACGGCAGAAGTCACTGATGTTCTGCTCTTACAGACCAAGCCATACATTGCCTATGCCCAGGTAACGATGCCTAGGCTTGCTGAAAGACAAATCCATTCAAGAACATGCTCAAAACAACATTTAATGGTTCAGCAATAAACAATATAAAAGATTTTGATAAAGATTTCTGCTGCATGAGAGAAAGGCTTCCTCACCAAAGTGACCCACAGCTTGAGAGACAAAATGGGTCGGGTAATATATTTTGTGTGCAGTTAATGAACTGCTGTCTAGTGGATGAGACATGTTACATACAATTTGCTACTGTTTTTGCAAAATCAAAACAGTTGCAGCGTGTTTACACACAAACTAATTTAATCTGGTTGCCACCTTCTGTTTACTTATGATGGGCAATGGGAGGTACCTTTTTAGACTGGAAGTTCCCCTTGGCAGTTGCCCCAGCTGTTGTTTCGAATACACCTGGATGAGGGATGGCACCGGCTCTTTTGTGACAGTTAGCCTGAAAATTATTCACACAAACCCTTAAAAATTGTCTCCCAACATTTCATACATAGTTACCAACTGTCTCTATCCTTTAATACTTCTGCTAGTCCCTATTTACCTCATAGTCCCACGTGCAATTACACCCCAATGTTTTCCTCCTTCACAAATGTTTGATATTTTCAGTAGTCTGGCCTTTCTATTTCTGAAGCATCTTTTGGTACCTAATCCTGGGAATCTGCTATGCTATAGGCACAGGGACAAATGAATATGTATGTCCCATACCCAAAGCAATGAGGTTGGTGTGTTTCTGATATTGACATTGTGTGGCAACATCTCAAAAAGGTGTCTGCTGCCTCCAACATATGCCCTTCAAAAAGCAGAGTTTTGGGTTCTGAACCAGACACTGTCACATTTCATTAGATAGTGAATGGGGCTGGCTGGTGTGTAACCTTGTAGGATCCCTACTATTTTAAAAAGAGTAAATCTATATGGAAAAAAAATGCCCCAATCCTGTTCTCTTGCCAAGACAAAGAGATTCTCAGGGAGGAAGGTTGCCTTACTCATACTATTAGAGCAGTAAAGACTCTTTGGCCACCCATTTAGAAATTATTCCTATTCTGATATTCATAGAACATCTCTGTAACCATCTGTAAAGTAGATTTCCAGATTAAATGGACAGAATGTGATTTGACAGCAGCACTGACTCATACAGACTGAATTTTGGCAAAGAAAATATTGCTAACTGCTGAACACATATGCACTACTTGAGAAACCTGGCTGCAGTACAGACACGCAGAAAAATGCAAGCACTCATTAATGCAATGAATTTGATTGTTGTAGCATTAGAAAAACAAGAATGTAGTGGCAATAAAAATGTTACAAGACTTAAGCAAGATAATTTATTGCAACTTGTTACCCTGATGCTATGATTCATGACTAGTACTTTAATAACCCACAGCTGATTTTTTTCCCAAATGCATTTGTTTCTCCAATTTAACATGTTTTAATGTTAGTTTTCATGTAACTAGAGAATGTTGTCTATCCATCCTCCCATGAATCTACCATAGGGGCCTTACCCATTCTTGTACTGCACTACTTTAGGTGCATTTCCCCCCATACATTCTAAGCCAGTCGCTCTCAACCTTTCCAGATTACTGTACCCCTTTCAAAAGTGTGATTTGTCTTGCGTAACTCAAGTTTCACCTCACTTAAAAACTACTTGCTTACAAAATCAAACATAAAAATACAGAAGTGTCACAGCACACCATTACTGACAAATTGCATACTATTACTGTCAAAATTATATGTTTACCATATAATTAATAAAATAAACTAACTGGAATATAAATATTGTACATACATTTCAGTTTAGAGCATATAGAGCAGTCTAAACAAGTCACTGTCTGTATGAAATTTTAGTTTGTACTGACTTCACTAGTGCTTTTCATGTAGCCTGTTATAAAACTAGGCAAATATCTAGATGAGTTGATGTACTCCCTCGAAGACCTCCGTGTAACTCCAGGGGTACATGTATCCCTGATTGAGAACCACTGTTCTAGGCTATGTGATAGGAGATGGTAGCTGTTCTGCACAGCTATAGTTTAGATTGATATTTAATAGAATTATGTCAGAGGTTAAAGATAATATGCTAGAAGTTTCTATGCTTACTTTTGTTTATAATTTCTCATTCACTGTATTCCCACTCCCAACTCCTATTTCAAACCCAACACAAGTTTCCCCTCCCTTCTTTCAGCAACTCCCACCAGGGCCCTGTAATAAACTTCCTTACCAGATTCTTTCCCCTACACTTGAACAAAACCATGGTATATTTTAGGGCATGCTACTTTTTTATTTAAACTAAGCTGAAAGTTGGTGATGGATGTGGCTACATATTTAATAACTGAACTCTGCAGAAGTGTGAGTACTGTTACTGAGAAGACTTTATAGAACCTCTTATCAAGATTGTTGTCTTAATAATTCTCTCTGAAAGCACTAATTAATTATTGAATCAATAAAGGGTGAGATAAGAACCACCTTTGAAATAAACCCTTTCAGAACACTTTATGGGATGCTGCAAAAGGGAAAGTTAATGGGGGTTTTCACATTTCTGGAAAAATGTGGCAATAGCATAGAGGACACAAGATAAAAGCTGTAA